TGGATTTATGAAGTTAATGTTACTTGTATGAAGCTTTTAAATGTGTTTTGGGGGAAACATTCATATTGATCAACTACAAAATTGTCCTTTATATTCTTTATACTTTTTTGCCAATAAGGACGTGAAATAGGTCTTAAATTGCATTCATAATAGTCTTACAAGTCTTAGAAACTTACATTTAACCTGTTGAAACCAGCAGAAACCCTGTATACTGTATTTTAATACACCTGAACTAAAGATTTAGTTTTCCATTTTACATATTTCTGCTGTCAGACAACTGAACCAGCACAAAATATTGATTTGATTTTGGCTCATTCTGTAAATACTACCTGTTACCTGTTCCAACCACTATTTTCTGATTGTTGCCTTTGCATACTTTACAGCCTAATGACACGTGAGAGATCTCAAAAAGTTAACTTTACTTACAGATTTATCCACTCTAGAGAGTTTTTCCAAAAGTTCCCTTTAGTCTTAGTGTGGACCAAAGCAGAGATGGAAAGCGCATTTTCAGATTCAGCCAGTTTAGTGTTGATGCAATGTAAATAGTTTCTGTTTTTATGAAAGTAATGAATGCTCTTGGAAGTCTTTTAGCCTTCATCTATTCAAGCAACAGCTGTTTTCCAACATGACAGACAGGCAAACTCTGCATCATCCTACATATACTATATTATATCTTGGAATGCATTGAAAGTACTTCTGTACTCTCCAAACAAACTTGCAAAAAGATTAAATTAAAAGCCTCCCGACAGAGCTATAATGACTCTGCAGGTGTTTTTACATCAGGTTGTATTGCATAAACATGCTGTCTTGTTTGTGAGTGATAGTCTGCGTATATACAGGTGTGTGTTTTCCTGTATTTCATTTCAAGTTCATAACTCCAGCTGTCAACAAGTAGCACCAGCACCAGCAGTAGTTAGACTCACAAGTTCCCGTTCTGTTTTGTTTTACGTCCATCTCCACACGCGTCACATCTTTAACAACTTCTCTGTCAGCTTTCCCTCCTGTGCCAGCTCCCTCCCCGTCGTATCTGTTCCCTTTCTCCTCCCATGGGGGAGTCAGCAGAATCTCATCACAGTGATTTTTGAGGGGGAGGCGGAGGGGGGGGTTAGAGGATGGATATTGTGCCAGTCGGATGCAGGGCGTGGAGGTGAGGCTGCCAACAGGAGGTGGGCATGGGGTGCCAGGCAGAGGCTCCACGCTGAGACACATGCTTAATTAGCATCCAGGATGGATGGAGGGAGGAAGAAAGGGATGGATGGATGGAAGAAGGAATGGATGGCAGTACAGGAGGCTAATTATGCCGTTTGAAAAGGGATGGCGGAGAAAAGCGGTTTGGAAAAAGCAAATCTGAGCATCTCAGTCGCTGGATGAAAGCGGCGCTCAGGCATTGTGTCAAAGCACTTGGACTCTCATTTGAGGCTTATTGTATATATGAGCATCACAAATTTACAGCAAAGCCAAAAGTGCTCCCAAGAAATTCATTTCCTGAGCTCCGGCAATACTTTCTGATGAATGCGACAGCTGTGCTGCTAGAGTTGATTGGTGTGTGTTTTTGTGTGGGTGTGTGTGTGTGTGTGTGTGTGTGTGTGTGTGTGTGTGTGTGTGGGTTCCAATGCGTATCATCTGGCACTGTCAAGGCATGGCTTTCTAATTTGGAAAAATAGAAAAGTGACTTTCTGCTCATTCACACTCGCACACGCGCCAACCATTCTGTCAGAGCGTTTGTCAGCTGGTGAATTGCGGCGTACGCAATGACTCGACACAATTATGCACTTTATAAGAAAGATTCTTCTGATACGTTGAAGCTCACTCGCTTTCCCTGATGAGAAAGTAGCAAAAGCAGTCTGAAGATCTGCTGATTGGAAGGTTTAGATTACACACAAACGCACACACAACCACAGTGAACTCCAAGATTAACAAAGTCTTTCAGCTTTACAATTTTACCACATGACACTCGTGAGAAATAGGGAATTCCCTATTGTGTGTGTGTGTGTGCGTGTGTGTTGTTGTGGTCTGGCATTGAGTCCAGAGAGAATCTGGCTTTCGGTCAGCTACTGTCTGCGCAAGACATTAACTTTTCCACTGATAACCACTTACACGCAGCACACATACATACACCATAGATACACACGGTGCTGCATGTGATGTCACCGGGTTCACGATGAGGACATGAACTTGCCGTGGCGTGCGAGGAATAACAAAGGAATAACAAAGTCATCGCTCTCCACCTCCGGAGATGTGAAGACGAGGCTCTTTGCTTGCTGACCACCGCCTCAGAAGTCTGCTGCATTTTCAATCTAACCTGGATGAATTTCATATTGCTGTTTTACCAGTTGCCATGGTGAGACTGAGACTTGTTTTGTGTGTTTGTTTACTTGTGTGAGTGTATGTGTGTGCGCCACAGCAGTATTTCAAGGCACATCATCTGGCACTAAAGCTGGCTGTCTAATTTGGGGAAATGGGCTTCCGCATGAAAAGCATCCATATGACAGACATCCAGTGTGTGTGTGTGTGTGTGTGTGTGTGTGTGTGTGTGTGTGTGTGTGTGTGTGTGTGTGTGTGTGTGTGTGTGTGTGTGTGTGTGTGTGTGTGTGAATAAACGAATCTTCCAGACCTATGTCTGCAGGCTATTATGTTAATACAATCAATGGACAAAGAATTTCACTAATTTTGTCCAAACACGCATTTCCTTTCCTCATCATCCTCTTCCTCTTCCCTCTTCTTTTCTCTCCCCCACTTCATACTCAGAAGATGTATTATGCCTTGTTCAACACACACACACACACACACACCTGAGTCCCAGCTTCTTGCTGAGACTGATGCCCCCTTTACCTCACATTATGCATCTCTTTGCATAATGTCCCCTACCTAACACACACACACACACACACACACACACACACACTGCCGTCCAAAGATTGAGCATTCACTTCCCGACCTCATATTAAACCTGCGCACAAAGACACACATGCCCTTCCCCAGACTACCACAATATTAACATACACATATACACACACAGACACAAAGCCCCTTTAGTGAATAGAACTGCAGCCTTGCCCCAGCCTTGACTCTGATGTGCTTTCACTTCCTGGATCCCATTCAGAGACATTAGAGCTCCCTACATTACGGAGACATGCTAATGATATCTGGTAATGCTCCACGGCTGCATTGACATGCAGAATGAGTCTGAACTCATACGTATATGCAAAACACAGAAATAGACTAGTCCTTCATGGAGTCATTTAGACTCTTTATGGAGTGTGTGTGTGTGTGTGTGTGTGTGTGTGTGTTTGTGATATTAAATTCTGTGTATTTGGGTGTTTGCCGGGGTTGTGCCGCTTTGATAGCCTGGATCAAACGTATCAGTGTTTACCTCTTTAGATTTCCATGTGTGTGTCTGCCAAACCTGTGATTGCTTGTTTATGTAGACATGTGCATGTCAGTTATTGTATAGCGGCTGCTTTTGTGTATTTCCCCAGCGTGCTGCTGTGTGCATATTATGCTACAGTGGGTGCGGGTGGGTGTATGCTGTGTTTGACCAATGAAATGTCCATTGAATAAACAGCCTGTGTTTATATGTGAATACTCAGAGCTTACAGATAATTGAAACTGTATGCTCTCTCCTCTCTGTCTACCCTTCAGGGATGGCTTATATAAACCCCCTGCTATTGTTGTAACCTTACACCAAGTCCACACTTGCGCAACTAAATTTGACACCACATAGTTTGCTCTACATGTTAGCCTTCGATCCACTGTTTTAACACCATTTTCCATAGAGGATGAGGGAGGGATGAACACTCTTCTTCCAAAAGATATTCCCTCATTTGGTGTTTTGATGATGGTGGTGAAGACTGCTAACCTTGGGCAGCAGCTGGACTCATAAGATCACACAAGGATCCATCTTGACAGGCTTCAATTTATGCCTCTGTGGCCAAACCGTGGTATCGGACCAATCAGCATTTGAAGAAGTACTGGCAGCTCGGGGGTTAGAGCTAGAGATTAGCATAGTAATGCTAACATCAGTTATATCAGAACTGGAAAGTAGAGTGCTAACATGTCACTTAAAAATCTCCCATAGGTGTTCAGTCGGGTTGAGAACCATATGATTCACATCATCATCATGCTCATGAAACCATTCAGTGAGCCCTCGTGCCCTGTATGGAAACATCTGCATTTGTTCTCAATTAACCAGATTTTGTCTTTAATTTGTCGCCCGTCTGTAAGTGATCATACAGAGCAGGATTTGACAGAATGGAGCTTTATCCTGCTGAGTAAACTGACTGTGACCGTCCTACTCCCCTACCACATGATGCCTTTAATCCACGGTTGTTTGCCAACAGAAAGAGAATGAAGAAGAAGAGATTTAGCTGGTTTTGGTGGGAAAATGACCTGAAAATGCTTTTGTGTACCAAAGTCGCTCTCACATGTAAACAGCGTTTCCAGATTTATCCGCCTGAGCGTGGACGTGGCTTTAATCTATCACTTCCTGCTGTGTGTGGATGAGAGCGTGGACAACCCTCTGCCCAAAGCCTACTCTAAATGTAATTTTTTTTTCTTCATATGACTGGTGTGTTTGCATGAAGCGTACACACACATGGTCATCGGAGGGGCACAGTGCTTACATGTGGTTGCATGTATTTATGTTACCGCATGTGGGGCATTCCATGATTGCTCCCACTTGTTTTTTTTGTTTTTTTTGTTTCCACTGAAACCACAAGGCTGCACACAAACACATACAAGCTTTGACTACTTTATGTACATCAACAACACTTTTCCATGGATCTGAAGTATTACGGAGGTTAACATACAGCCTAAGGATGTTTGGTCTCCACCACATGGCCTACAAACACTTTTCTTTTTCACCAAATGTCTACCTAAATGACTTCCAATGAGGCAGGTATGACTTTAGTGCCTTATTCACAGGTATTTGGACTTTTCAGCGACTGAACCTTTGACCTGCATACTTATAAATATATTATTTGTCCTCTGTCTCCTCACAGATGGCGCCCAGAGAATCTCGACCTGTGCACCACTACGCAGAGGTGGACCGACAGTACCACACACAACCCAGGTGAGACCACTGTGTGTGTTTTAGTCCTCAGTGCAGGAAGTGAAGGGATAACTTCTTGCCCCTCCCTCCCTTTGTGTCTCCCCCACTCACACACGGCACAGACTAATCCTCTTTGGAGCTTATAATTAAATCTGGAGTGTTTGCCTTGGGAGTGTCTACTCATCCCAGGAATAGGAGTGTTCAACTCTCCAGAGAGCAGGGCACAGTCAGGAGGATCACACACACACACACACACACACACACACACACACACACACCTATACACACTCACATGCACGCACACAGGATGGTTTGCTCTTATGAAGGATGTATAACCTCTAGTGTGGGTTTAATGGAACTGCACATGTACCTTCTGTTTGTTTAAACGTCCTCTTGTCAAATTAGCCACATGTGCACACACACACACACACCTCCTCTGCTCTCCGTATGAGTGTCCCCCGAGCACACATACATCAGTCCAACCATACCAGAATATTACCCAACCTGTGCGTGTGAGTGTGTATGCGATACGAGCAAACGCCATCTTTGTGATGTTTGCGGTCCAACAGCTAAGTGGAGCGTGGAGTGGTGCGGCGCGAGGAAAGCGAGGAGGAGGAGAATGAGGAAATAGAGGGGACACCGGGATGGAGAGGAGGAGAGTGAGAAAAAGAGAACAGTCATTTCACGGGTTATTGCCCCTACTGATATGACAGGCACCAGGGAGCGCAGACATCAGCACCGGCTCAGGGGGGACGAGACACACTGAGAATCTGGGAGAGAAAAGGAGGGACACGAGCAAGCAGCAGAGGGACGGAGAGATTAGCCAACTGTAACTGTGGGGACAAACCCAAGTGGAGACAGACAGGCTGGGAGACTTAGAGGACTTTTGACAGCCCAGGCCAAACTGTATGTACGTACAGTAACAGAAAAAGAAGCCAGAGTTCAGGTCATCCACTTATTGAAACTTTGCCCGTAATGAAACCGAAGCATGTCCGGAAAATTGAAAACCTTCCCAGCCATTCAGAGTGGAGGAAATGGAAGTCACATTCTGCATTTTATTACTGAACAATATCAGTCAACATTTTTTTCTACCCGTACTAATCGTTTAAATCATTTTTCAAGCAAATTTTCTACTTAATATCACTGTAATTAATGGACTTTTTTCACCCTTTTGGGCTAAATGTGCACAAAGCAGTTAATCGTAGATTATTTTAATTAAGTTATCAGGTTTAAATGGCACACATTCTCTGGTTTCAGAAACTTTCCAGTTTAGCTGAATGATTGATAAACAAATAAGAAAACTGCATTCTGAGGATTACAGCTGAAATATTGGGCTATATTATGTATAATGACAGCTTAAGTGTTTTATATTTAAGAGATAAAGCAGTGGCAGCCATCATGTTCTCTGGCTTATAATATTAGGCATAAAGATAACAAGTCTGGTTCAAATAATGTTCATTACCTCAAGAAATATTCTCATTGTTATTTAACTGTTGTTCATCTCCTCTGAAGTATTTTTAGGCCTAAGACCCATAGGATATCATCCGTTTGAAATGCATATGGTACAGTTGACATGCTCCTGGGGACATGTGCCTCAGCAGAAGAGCAAAAGCAAGAGCAACAGAAGTGCCAGGAAGAGTTTGAACACTATTCAAAACTCACATGTTTTGTGTTCTTGTTTCTGATGTTTCTGTAAAGATAAACCACGACTCCTCAGTCCCCCAAAACTCCTCCGACTCCCCTCAGCATAAATACAGAGGCAAGAGGAGGAGGGGACACAAATATATTCCGGGAATGTTTTTTTTTTTTTTTAGTTTTTTTTTCATCGAGGGGAAAAAAAAAAAACTGGAGAAAAAGAGAGAGCAGACACAGCAGTGAATTGAATGCATTTTTCAAAGTGGAGCTGAACTTTGTGCAAAATCCCCCCGGGGGCCGCCATTATTGAAAGCCATTTCCTCTCAAAATGAGTGCGGCTCCACCATTGGCCTGGCTCTCATTAGCATACATTTGGCCTGCCTTTGTGTGGAGCCGGCTGGGGCTGCAGCTGGAGGGGTGGGAGTGAAGGAGGTGTGTGTGTGTGTGTGTGTGTGTGTGTGTGTGTGTGTGTGTGTGTGTGTGTGTGTGTGTGTGTGTGTGTGTGTGTGTGTGTGTGTGTGTGTGTGTGTGTGTGTGTGTGTGTGTGTGTGTGTGTGTGGATAGAACAGGAGATGTAGCAAAGCACCTCACAGATGGGAGCATATGGAGAGAGAGCGGAGGAGAGGTAAGAGTCAGGGAGATGGGGATGAAATCGAGGCAGAATCAAGGCACTCAGGAAGACATTTGAATATTTCACTTTCAGTGTTGTTTTGCCGACTGTCAATATGTCCATGCACATTATAGCTCTCCTAATGAAAGCACACAAGTATGTTGTATTCAATTTGTGTTTTTTTTTTGTGGAGTTCCATCGTTTTTTCCCTCCCATATGTTCAAGTGATTTAGATTTTTTTGTAGCTTAAAGAAATAGTAAGTGTTCCACTTTTCCCATGGTCAAACAAGAACACAAATCAGAGTTTGCCCTGTCACCCAGTTCACTTCATTGTGTCGGAAAAAAATTCTCATCACAATCCTGCTTCCCCCATTGTGGTTCATTATACTTGAGGTCTGTCTGGCTATTCCCACCTCTCAAATCAAGAGTTTCTTTGGACCTGAGAGAGTGGATGCCAGAGTAGCAGGGCTGAGAGAAAGAAAGTGGACCTCAGCCTGGGACTTATTGCTGAGGGCTACTGCACAGCAGCCAACAAGAGAAGTCTGGGGAAAGAGGATTTGGAAAGAGGGCTGAAAGTGGCAGCGTCGAGAGGTTTGCCCCAGGGAGGGTGATAGTGCTACTTTGGCTCTTACCTCCCTCTCCATTGGCCATTAACGCTGGGTGCAGCTCAGCCTGCGGATAGGCTCTACGCTTGGGGACACACACAAATGCACGCGCACACATGGCCATATGGAGAATATTAACATCATTACCAATTCAAAGCAGCAGGTCATGGGCGCGGCGACCCAGCCCCGGGTTATCCAATCAGAGCACCCCCTGACCCACTCCCCCAAGGTGATTGGATTAGGGGGCCAGGTTGGCGCAGCAACGTTGCTGGCCAGGGCTGATAATTGGCTGATTAATGTGCAGCCGATGGTTAGTGAGTCAGAGAGTACAGGGCTCCAACCAGGGTCCCATACTGGCCCCAAGAAGCCCCTGTCACATCTGGACAATGGAGATGACCCACTGAGAAGGACACAATGTGTGTGTGCGAGGGGTAAAGGTCTTCACAGGTTTATTTATCTATTCAGTCTCAGTGGATCCAAGCGGATCAGCTCTGATCACATGGTGTGTCGTGTTTTTTGACTCAAGATAGAGAGTGTGTCATCGATCGATTGCTCTGAAAATAGTTGAGTAAACTCTCAACTGTTCTTTGTGTTTTCTGCTAATTAGTAAATGTTAGCTTGCTAATATGCTAAACTGACATTATGAAGATGATAAAGATTATACCTGCTAAATATTAGCATGTTAACAATATTTCTGTGAGTGTGTTAGCATGCTGACATTAGCATTTAGCTCCACTCTACAGCCTCACAGAGCCGCTACTTAATGTACTGCGGGTTTGTTCTGTTTTCTACAAGCTGTTTTGGATCAGGTGCAAAGTTCTGGACTCTTAAAGAGTTGGTGTTTGTGTTTGTGGTCAGTCATTCTAAGGGGCCTCTCAGGGTCATCGTTTGAGGAGTGACTGAATGCTCAGTGCTCACACTAAGCGCTCTCTGCCCCTCCTTAAAATACAGGGGGCAGCATCTTGATTGTCCTCAGCATTTCGAGTATCCTCTGGTATGTGGGAAAGTGTCCCTTAAGGACTCTTCATCTGACCTTCCTGAAAAGTGCACACACTAACACGCACTTCCACAGACTTACAGCCACTTGGTTTTCTCCACCATGTCTCGGCACATGAACCTTTTCACCCCCGGCTGTGTCAACTCAGGCCCTAATGAGCCACATCCAGACTGGACACACCTAGCAACACAGAATAGAAAAGAATAAATGACTCAGCCACCCTTTGAGTGAAAGCAATCTGTTGATTAGAACAGGATGAATAAATAAGGAAAGACGAGAGGAATATTAAAAACAAAAAACCCCTTCCGAAATGCTCATATTTACTCATTAATTTCTGCTTCACTGTCTTATTTTGTCAACTGGAAATGAGCTCCTAACATTTCACTCGGTTGGAGGGTTGTATTTATTGCAACGGTTATTATCTTCGCTGAGTAATACTGTGAATGTCCGTAGTTTGAAGCTCTCCATGAATTCGGATAGCTTTTTCAAGGTCAGCGGAGAAATCATATTTTCTCTGCACTCGTCCCATCTTTATTAAAACCCAATCCTGCTTCTCACAGTCTCATAAGTGATCAACGATCTCCCCACCCGCTGCTGTCCAGCTGTCGAATGACTCACTTTAAACTCACCCAACTCAGTTCGAGTTATTGTCTCCGTAACTCATTTAATTTCTCGGGTCCCGGAGAGCTCGGGGTGCGTCCTTTACTTTTCCTACATTTGGCCAATAACAGCTGCTGATGTCTTTCCAGGACTCCACGTGATTGGTTTAAAAGGTGATGTGACCCCCCTCCACTCCCTCTGTTATTGTTAAATAAGCAACACAAGAGCATCTGAAGCAATGTGCGGATTATTTTGTTTGATTTCCCGAGAGGCGTCCTGACCCTTCTCTTATTTGCGGGCCCTTTATGAAGGAAAGGGCCCCGTCGGGGTGCAGCGGCAGCAATGTTTGTCCACCTAACGGTGTTTGTGCTCAGACACAGGAAAATGTAATGGAATCAGCAGTAGGAAATGAAAGGGCTTTAGCCAGCTCTGTCACATGCACAACTGAGGCACCAGTGGCTCTACCTGTTTACAATAACTTCCCTTTTTCTGTTCTCTGCATTTTTCCCTGATTCCATCAATCCCCTTTGTCTGCATTTTCGTGTCGCTTCTGTTTATATCCCTCTTACGTCTC